GGTTTGGTTCAAGTGCTCGCAGCACCCCCACTATACAAATTGTTCCAGCAGCCCTGAGGGCGGGCGGCGTTGCCCCAGCCCAAGCCGGGGTCACTACACAGCGGGACTGGAGCTGCCAGCGCACACCTAGCAGGAAGCAAGAGGGGGCTGGTGGCGGGTCATGAGCAGGGCCACACCTGGCTGTTTGGGGAGGCACAGCCTCCTCCAGCCTATGGTACCCACTGCCCATGTTATGGCTCTTCTCTGAACCCTCTCCAATTTACCAACATCCTTCTTCAATTGTGTACCCCAGAATTGGACAGAGTATTCCTGCAGTGCCAAATACAGAGATAAAATAACCACTTTACTCCTACTTGAGTTTCCTGTTTATGCATCCCAGAGTTGCATCATCTCTTTTGGCCACGGCGTCACTTTGAAAGCTCATGTTTAGCTGATTATTCATCATGACCCCCAAATCTTTTTTAATGTCACTGCTTCCCAGGATAGAGTCTCCCACCACATAAGTATGGCCTCCATTCTTTGTTTCTAAATGTATACATTTACACATAGCTGCATTATAAAGCGTATTGTTTGCTTGAGCCCAGTTTAACCAAGTGATCCAGATTGCTCTGAACCAGTGACCTGTCCTCTTCATTATTTACCACCCCCCAATTATTGTGTCATCTGCAAACGTCATCAGTGATGATTTTATGTTTTCTTCCAAGTCATTGATAAAAATGTAAAATAGAACAGGGACAAGAACTAATCCCTGGAGGTCCCAACTGGAAACACACCCACTTGATGACAATTCCCTATTTATCATTACATTTTGAGACCTATCCGTTCACTTGTTTTTAATGTGTTTTTAATGTATTTGCCATGTTAATTTTATATCATTCTAGTTTTTAATCAACATATCATGTGCTACCAAGTTAAACAGCTTACAGAAATCTAAATGCATTACGTCAACACTATTACCATTATCACCCGACTTGTAACCCCATCAAAAAAAGTATCAAGTTAGTTTGACGGGATCTATTTTCCATAAACCCATGTTGATTTGCATTAATTACATTACCCTCTATTCATTCTTTATGAATGGAGTCCCATATCAGCTGCTTCATGGGGGAATGTGAGTGTTGTAGTGTACATACCTATCTACTATTGCTTTGATGTGATGTTAAGAGAATTTAAAAGATTATTAAAAGCTTATTAAAACTTCCTGCCTCTTTCTTGCTTCCCAAGCACCTGCACAGCAGCGAAGTGTAAAACGAAAATCTTAGTTAAATGATAATGTATTAAAACTAAACCAGGCAGCCCTGCTCGTAAGTGAGCCATTGTAATATTCAGGAAAAGTGCAAACTAACAGTGAGACCAGTCAGTGCAATCTCATAGGTAGTGGAATTGCCCATTGCCAGGGTATCCGTTCTCTTGACCCCATGGATGCATGGGGGTTGAGTGAACAGGCCCATGCACATTTCAATCCCAGAAGTGCATTGATGAGCCATCACCCACCTCCTCCCAGCATTGTCCAGTGGCTGCATTGGCTGTTGGACGTGGTAGCATGAGGCAAGTCCTGGTGCTGGTGCAGGTGCTGGAGCCTTCTAGCATCTGTGCTTTTAATAGAATCATAGAATATCAGGGTTGGAAGGGACAGGGCCGGCTCTAACTTTTTAGAGCGCCGCACCATGCTACCGAACCCCCCGCCCAAGCGCCGCACCGGGCCACCGAACCCCCCGCCCCCAGTGCTGGGCCGGGCCGCCCAAACCCCCGTGCCCCCCCAACGCCGCGCCATGCCGCTGAAACCCCCGGAGCGCCGTGCCGCCCAAACCCCTGCCCCCCTGAGCGCCAGGCCGGGCCGGCCAACCCCCCCGAGCACGGGGCCGGCCAAACTCCTGCCCTGCCCAAACCCCCACGAGCGCTGGGCCGCACCGCCGAATCCCACCCCCATACCCCCCAGCGCCGCACCACCGAAACATCCCCCGCGCTGCCCAGCCAAAAAAAAAAAAGAAAAAACCCTTGAGCGACGCCCCGCTGAACAACAACAACAAAACACCGCGAGCGCCCCCTGCAACCCCAACATTGGCCGCCCCTTCTCAGGTGCCGCCCCAAGCACGTGCTTGGTCAGCTGGTGCCTGGAGCCGGCCCTGGGAAGGGACCTCAGGAGGTCATATAGTCCCACCTCCTGATCAAAGCAGGACCAATCCCCAACTAAATCATCCCAGCCAGGGCTTTGTCAAGCCAGGCCTTAAAAACCTCTAAGGAAGGAGATTCCACCACCTCCCTAGGGAACCCATTCCAGTGCTTCACCACCCTCCTAGTGAAAAAGTTTTTCTTTTCAGTGGATATAACGCAATTTGGGTCCCTTAGGTACAAATGGGTCAATAAGACTCAACTATGTATCATGAATTGCTCATAATTGAACAGAAATCAATTGCAGAGCCAAGATAAGAACCACATTTTGATATCCACCCTCCAAACCATTGTTACATAGTTGAACTTTAAAAATAATAATACAAGATGTCAGACAACCATCTCAATCAGAATTTATTTAATCAAAGATTACTAGCCAAAGATTAATACAGCACAATTCAAAATACAGAAAGGAAGGTTTTGTTCTTTACCCAGCCAATCTGAAGTCTGCTTGCATTCACAGTCACATGCGTTGCTCTATGGCTAATTAATTTTCTATCCATCATAGCTCTAGATCATAATGTTTAACATTATAAATTATATCATTTGTAAGCTCTGACACTACCATCTTTGGAGTGTCTCTCTTAGGGAGCAGCTGGTGCACAAGCAAAGTGCAGGTAAATTTTCAAACATGACTAGGAATTAAGTCTTATTTCTCTCGTTATACATGTTGCGGACAGAGCTGGGCAAATAACTGATTTTTTGGTTTGGTGGTAGTTCCAATTTTTTAAAATCATGTTGAATTGACCCCAAAACAATTTTTTGATACTTTTGGCAAATTGAGAGGTTAAAAAAATCATTTGGCCTCAGACAAAACATTTCACTTTGATTTAGAGCATTTTTATAAAACTTTTTTAAAAATACAATTGAAGGAAATTTTGTAACAAAAAGTTATTTTTAATTAAAAAATTTAAATATTTTGTTTTGAAAATGTCAAAAGAAAATGTTTTGACTTGTTTGGAGTTTGTTAGCTTTGTTTTCAAAATGAAAACTTCGGTGAAACTAACACAAATTGTTGATATTACCTCACCCACCTTGTCTCACAAATTATTGAAACATTTCCGTGACACCAAATCATTTTTTGCAGAGAAACAGTTTCAGTCAGAAAATGTCACCCAGCTGTGAAGCAAGCAGCCTCATGCACAATAATAAACAGAAATGTTGCAGCGGGGAGGGACGATGTACCCATCCTGGGTGAAATCTTGGCCTCATTGTAGCTAACTGCAAAATTTCATTGACATCAATGGCCAGGATTTCATCCCCTGTCTGAGCACCATAAGATTAGAACAATGCAAAGTGAATGTGGCTCAACTCCTATTTGCTAGCCGATGGCCTCTTGTCATTTGTAGAACTATCTCCATAGCCATCAACAGCAGCTCTGAACAGGGTTCCCTAGGTGCTACCTAAAACCTGAGTGACACTTTACACATGGAGCTGAGTCAGCACAGAGGTGATGAGGGCACTGGCTTGAATAAAGAATCAGTTTAAATCCTACCATATGCTTGCTCTTTTCCTTCCAATATAATCAGGGCCCTGCCCAGGCTCCTTAGGAACCCAGAGGAGTGAAGCATGAAGTAGCTCAGGTCTTTATAGTCATGGCTCTGTTTGCATTTTAGGTACTGTCATCCCTATGGGCTGAAAATAAAAGAATCAATTTTCAATGACTGAAATTTGGTTTTCTTTGGACAGATGCCTTCCACCTGCTGCTGCCTGGAGTGCTCTTCAGCATTTGAGAAGCTGCTGTCCTGTCATTTGGTAAAATCAAAATAACAAACAAAAAACCAACAGCCATGTTTCTGACTGACCCTGCAATGCTGTTATTCCTTCTGCTGCTACTGCGGAGGCCAAGTTAGCGAGTTTGCTAACAATGTTTTCATGGAATCATGCTGACACCAGTGGAGATGTCTTGATAAAGAAAGGAGCAAATCTTCCATTGCCTGTAGGCTCCTTGAGGACAAAGGTCACCAGCATTTGCCAAACTGAAAAAGACAAAATCAGGAGAGGAATAAATGATGTTTTCAAGATTCTACAAGTTCTACAGACAATAAATATCAGCCCTTGTAAGTGTTAACACACTGGACTCCCTTTCTGTATGGTGACCTGGGTCCAGCCTTGCTTAAGTTCATGTGTCAAATCTTCGTATAGAGACACACCCATAAATAGGAACGGGGCAAGGGAGTTTGCTATCTACCACCTGACATGTGTCAGTGTAAGGGTCAAAGAGCACCATGTTGGGGACAGCCATGTTCCCCTTCCTCTGTCCCAGGAGATAAATTCGGCCATTCGCAGTGCTGCATCCCATGAAGAATTTCTGAGTCAGGCACTCTTCATCCACTTGGGTCCATTCATCTGTGTCCATATCAAAGCGAAAGGCTCCTCCTCCTATGGTGTAGAGTGCTCCATTCAGAGCTGTAACACAGAGGTCATACCTAGGGAGAAGGAAAACTGGTGATCTCAGGAGGACACAAATAGAAAGGTCAGCACCCCCAGCATGCATCCAGTTTCCTCTAAATGGAAAACCATTGAACAATTTGTATAGATGCTGAGAATAACTCAGTTTGATGATGGTGAGTGAAGATCTCAGGCCCTCTCTGCAATATTCTTACTAATCAACTCTCTGCTTTACTTGCATCAGAAGTTAACTGAAATGTTGCTACTCTTTAGCTTTCAATAATAACCATCCACTTCAGGGAAAAATCACCTCCTTTAAATATCAGAGGTCAGACATGCATCTGACAAAGTGGGTATTCACCCACGAAAGCTTATGCTCCAATACTTCTGTTAGTCTAAAAGGTGCCACAGGACTCTTTGTCGCTTTTTACAGATCCAGACTAACACGGCTACCCCTCTGATACTTGACTTCTTTAAATAGTTATTAATCTTTCCTGGAACACTGTCAGGTAGTTTAGGGCCTGGGATTTAATAGCAATTGCCTATCTTTTCTTCTTTAATTCAATGAATACTGCTTTTATTTTGCATTTAAATATCCCCCTGCAGCCCCAAACAAGAGCGAAATGCTAGGGCAAGAGCCCTAGATAGTGAAACTCACTAGAAACTGAGCAGTCTAGTGTCACTGTCCAAGTCCAGTGAAAGTAAAAAGGTAAACAATAGAAATAATGCCAGCCTTTGGTGATCATATTTTAAAGTGCAGTGATTGTCCAAAACAGCAACTTGGGGCTGTTTTTACAATCTTTCTCAACAGGTCTGCTCTTGGAATGAAATTCACTTGTGCAGAGGACAGCATGAGGCCTTCACACCAGTGCATCAGCTTTTTGCTGGCCCTGCACAGAGGTAAATTTCAACCTTTGTCATCAGATTAAAGGGGCACCTGAGCATAGAGAAAAAACTGCCTTTGTGATACCCTAGGAAGTGTTTCAGTTCTGCAGAACACCTTTCAGACTCATGAATGCATCAAGGACATTTCAGAGGGTAGCTAATGGTCTAACCCAAGTTTTGATAATTGAAGACATACTAACATACCTAGATGACTTCATTTGTTCCCACAAAACATGGAAGGAACATCTGGTAGGAATGGAAAGGATCCTAAAGCTTTGTAAGGAGTCAGGGTTTAAATTTTTGGGAAACAAGTATCAGTTTACAAGGAGTCACACCACCTTCCCAGGCCATATAGTCAGTGCGGAACCCCCACCTTGGAAACTGAATGTTACAAAGGTCTGGAAAATACTCCTTACACTCAGAGACTCAAAAGAGCTCCGTCTATTTAATTTATGAAAGAGAAGGTGATTATGTGATTTAATTACAATCTAGCGAGGGCTTATACAAAGAGAAGACATCTGATACTAGATGGCTCTTTAGTCTAGCAGAAAGACCTAAGATCCAATGGCTGGAAGTTGAAGTCAGCAACATTCTAACTGGAAATAAGATGCACATTTTTAATAGTGAGTGTAATTAACCATTGGAACAGATTAGCAAGGGATGTGGTCAATTCGCCTTCATTTGAAGCTTTTAAATGAAGACAAGATCAATCTTTCTATTAAATATGCTCTAATTCAATCACAAGCCATTGCCTGAAGTTAGCAAAGTTCTAACTGAAATAAGATGCCTACTTTAACAATGAATGAATAACCATTGGAACAAGTCAGTAAGGGGTGTTGTAAATCCTCCATTACTTCTAGTCTTTAAATCAGGATTGGCTGTCATTCTAAAAACTATGCTGTAGCTCAGCTAAAAGTTGCTGGATTAGATATGAGGAGGAGTGGTGAGGTTGTCTGGCCTATGCAATGCAGGAGGACAGACTACACGACCATAATGGTCCCTTCTGGCTATGAAATGTATGGACCCATGAATGGGAGGGGACATGTTTCACAGGATGGTGAATAGAGGATGTGGCCACAAGAGAATCTGTTAAAATACTGTCAAGGCAGCCAATGAAATGTCTGAGGACCCTTGAACTAAATGCTATGCGATTCTTTACTTTGCAAATCTTTGTGATGTGATTTTCATCTTGGCATTGTCCCTTTTATATGGATTCTGACTCGCACTAATTTGAGAGCCAGACAACAATGGCCGGGGGGCTGAGCTGGAACTTCTACTACTGGTATGTTTATCTCTAAATAGAGAAGTAAATAAACCCTCAGCAAACTGCATGCATTGTTCTGGGCAGAAGCAGGTGTGTCTGACTCATGCCCCCTCTTTCCTGCTCCCTCCACACATTTGTTTGTAACACTCACTTGGTGCATCTGGAGTTAAATTAAGTGTACGCTCTTTAGGGCAGAGGTTGCCTCTTACTATAGGTTTGAGCTGTACCCTGCACATTGAGGCTTGATCTGAGTGCAGCCTCTGGTGTCACTGTAACAGAAATTCATAAATAAAATCAATCAATAATACCTAGTTCTTATATAGCACTTTTAATCTGCGAGTGCTTTACAAGGAGGTCAGAATAGTATGAACAATAATAAAGTTAATTCTGTCTTTTAAAAAGAGGAACAGTTGCGACCCTAGAAAATAGGGGCCAATCTAAGTGCTGCTGTGAACCTATCCTGGACATCACCTTATCCCTTCAAGAGATGGAACAGCTTGACGAGATACAGGTTACAAACAGAAACCAGCATGATCAGATGGATCATACCAGACCAACCAGAGGAGAAATTCAGCGCAACTGAAGTCGGTAGGAGTTTTGCCATTGACTTCAATGAAAACCCCGTGAAATCTTTTTCAGGGAGTCACATCCCAGAGCAGAGTTCCTCACCTGGGAAGTGGTGAGAAGGAGATGACATCCCAAACATCCTTCTCCATGTCCAGTCTCTGCACTCCACCATACACATCTCCCTTTTCATCCAGGCCACAGACCACGTAAAGCCTGGTCCCCACACTGACTGCACCTGCTCTCTCCACAGGCTGAACCATGGGGCTCATGCTTTGCCATTGCGAGTCCATTAATGCCAGGCGCTCCACATCTGGGATTATGCCCTCATCTGTGCTCCCTCCAAGCACATACAGATAGAGCCCAGCCCCTACGGCACAATGGCTGTTGCGAGACTGCTTCATAGCAGGCCCTTCCAGCCAGTTGTTGTCCCAGCAATTATAGATCAACACCCAGTCCACGCTGTACCACACAAACTCATCTCGGAAATAACCTCCCGTCACAAAAAGGAAGTTCCCTGGGGATAGAATGGAAAGAACTGTCAGGCAGAGGCATCTCTCAGCCATCCTCATGCATATCCTGCTGCCCACTTCCCCTCAAGCAATTTGCACATTTAGGCTTCCTTCCTGCAGCCTGATCTGTGTGGAGTCCCTTGCACCTGAGCAAGTTCTCCTTGGAATCAATGGGGTTCCAGGTAGGTATGGGGTCTGCCCATGTAGATCAGAGTGCAGGACTGGAGTCTTAATCTCTCCTTCAGCTTCTAATATGGATGAGACATGAACAGTTTGCTGCAAATATTTGACACTCGGTATTTGAAATTTAGCTGCATTGCCTGCATTGTGATTGGTCATGTAAGTCAGATGGCCTTGTTTCTCTTCCCTGATAGGAGGAAGCTAACTCTGAAAATAAGGTTTTCTATAGAGTACTAAGCTTAAAATGTGCATTCCACAGGTATTCATCCCATTACAACTTGATCACCCCAAAGCCATCACAAAATGGCTGCAAAGATAGACAGAGCTAATCTGCCCTTTAATTTGCACTAAACGTCACACCAGTTTACATTTGTTTCAGTATTTGCTCAGATGTGTCAGACTAACAGAATATAGTAACTCTCCCATAAGAGTAATGCACTCAGTGTAACACAGTCAGGTCCGTGCAGTTAATTCTGAAGATCATCACTGTGACAGAGAGGGCTCTGGCCCTAAGAAGGAAGCTATACAATAGAGTTACTCTGCACAACTGATGTAAGTGGGAGTAGAGTCATAGCTTTAATGTTTATGCCCCATGATCATCACATTCAGAAAGAATGAATATTTCCTTTTTTCAGTCAAGTCCCCATACAAACCCCTTACAGCCAAGCCACCAGGACTAACAGGTCTTTGAACCAAAGAGAACTTTAGGTCTGAGTTAAGTCACTAACAGCACTGATGGTTTAATGGGGGGAGAATCTGAACCCACAGCAATCAAGGCTCCAAACCCTGACTTCCTCTGAGTTTGCCCAGTTCTTGCTAGGTGCCAACTGCACTATTTGTTGCAAAGAGTTCTGAGTACACATGCATCTCAGAGAGTTACCTACTGCTGCCACTGCATACTGGATGAGGTTCCTGCGCTGCAGCGGGGAGCAAAGATGCCAGGTGCCAGATTTAGGTTGAAACTGAAATAATTCTTGCTGCTCCTTATCATGCTTCCCTCCCAGAATATATAGGGTCTCATAGCTCCTGCTGGTGCAAGGAGACAGCTCCATGTTCCTCCATCTGAGTGGAGGGCAGCTGTCTAACTTCTTTAGCAGCCTGGCAGAGGTATCCTTCTCTCCAGGGTTTTTGCTTTGTTTCACCAAGATATCAAGGAAGGAAAGACTCAGGAAGGTTACCCTGACCTGCCCCACCAAGTCCAAGAAGGCCTCCTCCCTAGATGCTGGGTCCTGCATTATCCATTTCATCACAGTATCAAAAACGACATCCTCTTGGGGAACAAAGAGGTCATTGTTTTGCAGGAGCTGCAGCAACATTTCTTTGGGAAGCTTCTTAAATTCTTCCTGAGAAGTCACTTCCGTCCAGTGCGTGAGAGCCACGCTGAGAGCTGATGCATGAAGCTCTGGACAGGCAAAGCATTGGGCATAGGCCATCAGGCTCAGACAGTTGGAAACGTGCAGCTCCCTCTCCAGGAACTTCTCACACATCCTTTTCACTCTCTCAAACTGGAGGAAGTCGGCTGTTTCCAGCAGGCGGGTGACATTGTGCAGAGTTATGAGCACCTTGGCTGTGCGAGTGAACTCGAGAAGCGCTTGGAAAGTCTCTGCATCTACTCCTCTGATCACTATGTGGTGTTCGGAGCTCTCTCTAGTGCCCCCAAAAAACATGGCCTCAAAATAGCGACTGTGGAGAGATAATGCACCACGATTGACCTGGAAAAGTCTCTGTCCAATCTCAAGAATGGTGTCGGTAACTGGTTCTGCCCGAAGTCTCAGCCCTTCTGGTTCCTGCGCACAGTCCATGTTAGTTGTCAGCTGGAGGAGTTAAAATTAACTCAGCCCTTCAGCACCCTTTGCTCATGTGAGGCATCTGGAACTGTGACTTTGATAAATATGTGATATGCCAGCCTTGTCCTAAAAATAGACCATGCTTCCTAGGCTCCTGTCTGGCTCCGTCTTTCCCACTCTCACTAAGCTTATTCTGCCACCACTTCGCTCCTCTCAGACCCCTCAGCAGCTGCAGCAGTAAGGCTGTAAATCAATACTGAAGTTTTGTGGCTAGTTTATAAACATTAAGAGCAAGGGGTAATAAGCCCCTTCAGAGGGGTTGATGGATTTCAGAAGCCTGATGGTGAGTGAGTGGAAAAAAAACCTGCACACCCTAGACAAATTCCATAATTTAATAAGAAATACATACTTGGCAGTTACACAGTGGCTTTCATTCAAGATTTTACAAAATCCAGTTAACTAACCTTAACCAGTCTGTGTGTGTGGATAGGCAGCTGATCTCTACTCCCAAGGAAACTGAGGCACAGAGAGGGGAGGTGATTTGCCCTGGCCCCCAGAATAAATCTTAGATTTAGCAAGAGAGCCCAGAACTCCCAGCCCGTTTTCACCACAATGAGATTAAATGGTTTGACTAAACTACAGCTGAGGAATTAATTGTGTGTTTTTAAACCATCAGATCTCTCTGCAGTTCTGGGAAGCAGAGGAAGTTCAGAATGATGTGGGCTTCACAAAGTAAAACCAAAAGGAGCCAACCAGTTTTCTCAACTGCAGAAAGTCTGTTGTAAAACAAAACAGGAAATAAGTCATAACTCCCAGATCTTTCTCTAAATGAAGATCAATCTGCAACTTAATACTGGATAAACACAAGCAATCAACTAAACTGAGGCACAAATCTAGGTGCCCTGGAATGGATCCAGATCCCACCAACCCCACTCTACTTCTCACAGAGAACAGTGTGAATGTGCCCTCCCTCACTGTTCCCAATTAGCTAGGTCTTCACAGATGGGGGTATTTCTGCAAAGTGAATGTGGCTCAGAAAGCCAGCTGCAATAGAAAGTCCCCCTCTGTTCCTCCAGGTAAGGAGAAACTGTCTCCTAGCATGAGGTTCACAATAATGTTTCTTTAGCAGTTAAGAGCCCTTTTCTAAGGACCTTGGTACTAGGTCTCAACTATCTCCTACTCTGAACCTCACTCTAATCAATCAGACATTATGGATTTAAATGATGCTGGGTGCTCTGATGTAAGTCTGCCTCCAGATTTCTTACCAATCCTTGAAATTGAGCTCTGCGAGTGCACTGCAGAACTCATACCAGGCTACTACAGCTTGGAGAGACTGGGCTTCTGCACTTTAACATTGACACTATCCCTTTCTACCAACCCAACTCCTCATTAATAACACAAGGGCTGCCCCAGAGAGCAGTTGTAATTTGTCAGTCAATGTAAAGTGCACAAGCTCCCAGCTGATATGGTCAGATTCTAAAATATGTGACCTGAGGTGGAATTGGCTGTTGCCAGTAGCACTGGCAAAGGCAATATTATTCTCTAGAAGTGCTCTGGGTCATCATATTGCTGGTCTATTAGTAGGTCCATCTAAATACTTATACTATAGCTCATCACCATGGTATCTGAGAGCATTTCAAAAGAACCAGGTGGTTCTCCACACACTGATCCAACTTTCTTCATCTATCCATGTCAAGGGACAGGGTGGAATAGGTGTTATAGCTGATTGGAAAACATAATTTCTGTCCCATGGGAAATTCCAGTATTTCATCATGTTTTCATCCTCAATTGGGACAAAAAGTCAAACTATCAAAACTTTTAGCAGATCAAAAAGTTCAGAAAAAATTTGATTTGGCAATATCTGATTATTAAGAGTCAATATTAACTGGTGCCTGCTTGAGTTGCCCTGGTGTCTCCTAGGAGTGTGTAGTTCACCTGGCTCATGGTCCCATTCTTCTTTACAAGCCAAGGTCCCCTGCTAGACTAACTATCCCATGATGCACCATGACACACTGCAGCAGTTTAGACGGATATTAATTAACACTGAACCCCCCTGAAACTACATGTTTTAATTTTCCATTAGGAAAATGGATAGTTGTAGGCAAAATTGACATTTCTGGAAAATCAACTTTTTCCACGGAAAACCACATTTTCCATCATTAAACAGAGCCAAGGTCATGGAGAAGCAGTGATCCTTATTCTTTCACTTAGTCCCACAAATGTAGAATGAAGATGGGGCAGAGGAAACAGGGAAAGTCTCATTTCTGGGAGTTCTCAGCAACTATAGGAACCATCCTTCCTCACTGACTTCCATTTCCAAATGGAGTGGTGGCCCCACATCAGAGTCCTTATGTACATCAGACTTGGTCTCCTTTCACCTTCCCCTCCACCCTCTCTGCTCACAAACATCTCTATGCCTTCTTCACCACTGCCATATATGGTTGGCATGCTCTTCCAAGATCGATGCAGAGATGTGGCAGAGTTAAGGTTCTGGTGCACAGTCAGCAGGGGAGGTACCTTGTTGTTGTTGGAGAAGGTAGGCAAGCACTGTTAAGCTACTTAACTTTTCATTTCCTTGCTTTGGTAGGTTTGCATCACGTATGTTTCCAAAGTTTTGTGTGTGTATTAGTCTACATAAGGCTGTAGGACAGAACCAGTTTTGGGGGTTTTCTGCAGAAGCCCCAGTACATTGTGAGTTCTATAACATAGCATGTTATACACGTAAAACTCCTGTTAACTACTGAAAAGTATCACAATTACAGAAAAGAGCTTAAAAAAATAATTGGCACAGCTTTGATCAAGAACTAGCAAAAGCTTATAAAAACTAAAATCCAATGCCTTCATCATTTTATCCCTCTGTAAACAGCCTTTTAGTGGTACACCAACAGGGAATTTCTTCTTCCTGAAGTTTCGCATGTGTATTCAGAGACTGTCAACGTTCTAGTGACAAAAAAGGGAGATTTAGAAGTCCCCACTCTTCAAAATACAGAGTCCATGCAGCTAAAAAACAGAGTAATTCTATTTCAGCTCCTACCTTAGCAAGACTACATAACCAAGTTCCAATTAAAGAACAAAGTTTACCTTCAGAACCATGCAAAATCACGTTCAATGGAGCTGCCCAGACCAAGTTGTGCTTTCACATATATGGGCAGCATTGTTATTATTGATGCTGCATGAGCCAGAAAGAACTCTAGCTGACTTTTATATGCTATATTGAGTTTACAAGACTGGCTTTCCAGATTAAAATTGATATAAGCACAAGAGCAGCAAATTAGCCTCATAAGAGCTTTTATTTATTCACAGTTGCTCTGAAGTATTCCCATGTATCATATATAAAGTTTAGAAATGCATAGTTACAAGTCAACAAGAAGAAATGACAAGTGGGAGTATGTGTGCAAGCTACAAAGTAACCTAGTACTACCAGACTGCCTGCAGTAGAAAATTAAATTTTAAAATAAAGCATACAGGACAAAACCAATGTTCTTTCCCCGTGGTCCAATCTGCTATATAGAAGAAAACAGGTATCTTCAGTAGGTTTTAGGTCACTCAGCCAAGCCTGAAATTTTCTGGGGCCACTCAACACAGATGTCTCTAAGGAAGACTGACTTTACAAATTCCAAGAAGGTAAGATTTGGAACAAGAGCGAGAAATTAATAGATTCCCTTCTTAGCTCTGGTGTTTATAAAGAATGGTAACAAGTCAGTAAACACTCAAATTAGTTTCCCTATAAGGGCAGGTCTTCACTACGGGGGTGGTGGTGGGTGGGGGGGTGTTGATTTAAGATACGCAAATTCAGCTACGCAAATAGCGTAGCTGAATTCGACCTATCGGAGCCAACTTACCCCGCTGTGAGGACGGTGGCAAAATCGACCTCCACGGCTCCCCGTCGACAGCACTTACTCCCACCTCTGCTGTTGGAGTAAGAGCGTCGATTCGGGGATCGATTGTCGCGTCCCGACGAGACGCGATAATTCGATCCCCAAGAGATCGATTTCTACCCGCCGATTCAGGCGGGTAGTGTAGACCTAGCCTAAGTATCAGGGTGGGCAGGCAGGTAAGAAATCACTAGTACAGAGCCTAAGATACTCTATGAAATGGTCTCTGCCTATGAATTCTGCTGCCTAGAGGAACGAAAACAGGATGGAAAAAACAGATCTGAAGAAGTTCTCTGTGTAAGCTTGTCTCTCGCTAACAGACATTGGTCCAATAAAAGATATTACCTCACCCACTTTGTCTCCCTACTATGAAAACTTGGTTTTGGGCGTATTTAATTAATCTTTTGGACCCAATCTTCACACATGCCTGCTGGCTACCACTATGATTTCCAATCAGTCGTTTTAAACCCAGAATAGAGAAAGGGTTCCCTGTACCTTTAAGACTTCAATTTGAACACTGACTAGATCAGTAATGAAGTTTTTCTTTATTGAACAAAATTAGATCTTATTTTGCAGTTGTCATTCAGTGTTCCTGCTATCACTGTGGCAAATGGCAAAGTAAAAAGGTCAAGGTCCTTCTGCCCTTTATAAAATGAACATTTAAAAAAAAAAAACCAATCTATTCCCCAAAATGGGAAGGTTTCTCATACACTGTTCATTATCTCCAATGATTTGCAGCCTTGAGGCTTCAGTGAGTCCCAAGAAAATGTTAGCCCTCCTGCTGCTGAATGAAAGGGTTTGGAATAGCTTCCATTCCATCCTGTGGACAAATAAGAACCACGGATGTTCCTCTGCAAACCACCAGTCCCAGCTGACGGGTATCCTCTGTTAGTTTGTATTGGTCATCTGGATCTGAAAGAAAACCATCCAGGAGGGTTTAGGATTACAATGACAGCATAAAGAAAAGAAACAGAATTCAACAATTATTTTATAGAGTAGAGATTAAATTTCCTCTATCATTCTTCATAGAATCATATGGGACTGGAAGGGACCTTGAGAGGTCATCTACTTCAGTCGCATGCACTAATAGCAGGACTAAGTATTAGTCTTATAACTTTTGATTCCTATTAGTACCTCTAAACACTCACTGTTACTCTTCTTTTCTTTCTTTATTAAACTCATTTGCATATTAACTATTCTCCTAAAATCTTTGCAATATTAGCAAGAGTGTGTCTAAGTTCTAAGGCCCAGCATGTTGGTTCTTAACCTGTGAATGACTGGTATTCAGGAATCCTGGGTGATCAATAAGGAATATTTGTTATGGCACATTGGTTCTGTAATGGTGGAAATAATGACCACTGAAAAAGGTTTTAACTCATTCAGAACTGTCAGTTGTCATAGCTGTTAGTAATAGTGATAAGACTAGAGATTCCTTTTTACTCGGTCAGGTAAGCTGAGGACTACAAAAGAAATTCCATTAGTAAGTAGAAAAACAAGAATACATGGTAAAATCATCATGGGAAAGTATTTTTCCCCCTCCAATAATGAGTTTTTGATCTCATAACTTATAAAAAACAACAACAACCCAGGTCTTGGAAGTCAGGTTGGGGAGTGCAGACTATCAGCATCCCACCAGAGAGCGAGGAGAGAGAAACAGAGGCCAGCTCTTTCCCTTACATAAATGTAGTAATGTATCAATTCTTTCTGTATTCTGCATAGTGCTGTACTAATCTGATAATCTTTGCTTAAATAATTCCACTGAAGTCTGTTATTTGAGTATCTTGACTCGTTAGTAACTTCAAACATGCAACATACCTTAAAATGAAGTTACTGATAACTGAGGATTCAAAGCTGCACATATCCTGTGCTGTGACAATGACAATGTGTGACAGAATGCACCTACGTCCACACCCTACACACTATTGTAATAATCTTTGCACAAAGTGTGTCCTGCAAGGGATCACTTGAAAACTCAGAATTTACTTGTTGTCATGTCCTGATAAAATGCGTGCGACAACGTTGTATGTGAAGTTTTAAGACTGTATGTTATAAGACTCCATTGTATGGTGTTAACATGTTCCAAACTGAGGTTGGCCAACACATCTGTCTCAAACAAAGGAATGTGTGCCCTGTTTGTTTATTGCTTAAATGCAAATTAGAGTCATCGTATAGGAAGGGTAGACAAAGAAACCTCAAATAGGTGAGGACAAGCAGAAGGGAATATCCTTTCCTATAGATTGCCTCCTGAATCTCAGCTGGAAATGTTTTCTAAGAGGGGGACTGACACTATAAAAATGAGGGACAAACACCCCAAGGTACATCATCTCTCTCTCTCTCTGCGCCCATCAATTCACTGCACCAAAAGGAACAAAGGAAGCAACCAATGAACTGGGGAAGGGGTCCTGACCTAAAAAGTTGGTCTGTAAGACTTCTGAGATCATATGGTGAGAAAAACTTTGCTTTGAATAAAATATAGTTTAAGTTGTGCAGCAGTTGAGTTTTATTCTTTATTTTTCTTGTAACCATTTTGACTTCTATTCCTCATTACTTGTACTCAACTACAAAGAGATAAATTGTGTGTAAAACTTATTCTATTGTTTTATCTAATACAGTGTGTTTACACTGAAGTGTCTGTGAAACTCCATTTAGGGTAAGCAGGTCTGTGCATATTATTCCTATTAAAGAAATACAAACTTTATATGAATTTGTATGGTTTTAGGAGAGGGCTGGGAAATACAAGACATATATGCACGGGGAAAACAAATCTACAACTGGGAGTGTGGTGGGGTCACCCTGCAGTAGAGCCAAGGTATGGCTGCCTGACTGCCACGCCCCACACACACACACCTGGGAGTGACTTGCATGCTGCAGACTATTTGTGAGCAGTCCAAACTAGAAGTTACAGCAGCAAAGGATTGTAAACAGCACCCTATGATAAAGAGATTGCACTACAGTACTTGTATTAGGTGAATTGATATATATATATATTCTGTAAAAAATATTTTTATTTTTGATTACAAATATTAAGTGATCACTGTACACTTTGTAGTCCGTTTTAACGGAAATCAATATATTTGAAAAGGTAGAAAACATCCAAAACTATTTAAATAACTAGTATTCTATTACTGTTTAACAGCGCGATTAATTTTTTTAATCGCTTGACAGACCTAATTTTTATCAATGACTTGGAAGAAAAACAAAATCACCACCAATAAAGTTTGCACATGACACAAAAGTTGGAGGAGTGGTAAATAAAGAAGATCACTTATTTAGAGCGATCTGGATCAAACTGGGCATAAGCAGACACTATGCATTCTACTATGACTAAATGTATGCATCTAGGAACAAAAATGTAGGCCATACATACAAGATGGGGAACTCTACCCTGGGAAGCAGTGACTCTGAAAAAGATTTGGGGGTCATAGTGGATAATCAGCTGAACATGTGCTCTCAGTTTGATGCTGTGGCCAAAACAGCTAATGCTATCCTGGGATGCAAAAAGGTAATGCTATCCTGGGAATGTTGAATAGGAACGGAGAGGTTATTTTACCTCTATAAATTGGCACTGGTATGATCGTTGCTGGAATACTGTGTCCAGATCTGGTGCCCACAATTCAAGAAGGGTTTTGATAAACTGGAGAGTTCAGGGACGAGCCATGAGAATTATTAAAGGAATAAAAAACATGCCTAATATGATAGACTCAAGGAGATCCTTCTATATAGCTTAACAAAGAAGGTTAAAGGATGACTTGATTCCAGTCTACAAGTATCTACTTGGGGAATATTTAATAAGGGACTCCTCAATCTAGCAGAGAAAGGTATAACATGATCCGATGACTGGAAGTTGAAGCTAGACAAATTCAGATTAAAAAATACACGCCTTATTTCCAAACAACTAGAGTAATTAACCCTGTGTTGTGGTGGATTCTCCCTCAATGACTATTTTTAAATCAAGATTGTATGTTTTTCTAAAAGATCTGCTCTAGGAATTATTTTGGGGAAGTTCTATGATACTATGTTATACAGGAGCTCAGACTAGATGATCACAATGATCACTTCTGGCCTTGTAATCTATGAACTTTACTTTGAAGGTCATATCATTCAGATTCCTCAGATGGTAGAAATTAAAAGCTCTTATCAAACGAGACACCTAAGAACTGGTGTCCAGATGACAAAAGAACTCCCCAATCCCTAAATCATCACTCTTGCAGAGAGATTCTACGACCAAAAACTACAGGAAGACAGACTTTTCTATATATAAATTCCTCATTCACCCAGTAAGAATTACATTTGCACATCCCTAGTATTTAGCCATAATGGCGGAGGGAGAAAAATTGTTCTCCTTAACCTCTGAGGATAGGACAAGAAACAATGGGCTTAAATTGCAGCAAGGGCGGTTTAAATTGGACATTAGGAAAAGCTTCCTGTCAGGGTAGTTAAGCACTGAAATAAATTGCCTAGGGAGGTGATGCAATCTTCATTGTTGGAGGATTTTTAAAAACAGGTTAGACAAACACACGTGTCAGGAATGGTCTAGGTAATACTTAGTCCTGCCTTGGGTGCAGGGCTAGATGACCTCTTCAAGTCCCTTGCAGCCCAGTCATAGAATTGTAGGACTGGATCAGACATCAGTAGGGGAACATTCTCTTGTATGGATATTGCAACATCAAATACTATACTTTTTTGTAGTCACCACACTTAGCAATTATTTTTAGCATTCCACAGATTTATTTTTTTTTAAATATACTTCTGAAAAATAAAATGTTATTCTAAAACTGTGGCCAACTGGACAGATGATACTTTGTGACACAATAAACATGCATTCTTTTGACCCTGTGTACCCTCCTGAAAGTTAGATAGCATGATGCTCATGACCTGGCATTGCCAGCAAATCGAGGGACATGATCATTCCCCTCTATTTGACACTGGTGAGGCCTCATCTGGAGTACTGTGTCCAGTTTTGGACCCCACACTACAAGAAGGATGTGGAAAAATTGGAAAGAGTCCAGCAGAGGGCAACAAAAATGATTAGGGGGCTTGAGCACATGACTTATGAGGAGAGGTTGAGGGAACTGGGATTGTTTAGTCTGCACAAGAGACAAATGAGGGGGGATTTGATAGCTACTTTCAACTACCTGAAAGGGGGTTCCAAAGAGGATGGATCTAGACTGTTCTCAGTGGTAGCAGATGACAGAACAAGGAGTAATGGTCTCAAGTTGCAGTGGGGGAGTTTAGGTTGGATATTAGGAAAAACTTTTTCACTAGGAGGGTGGTGAAGCACTGGAATGGGTTACCTAGGGAGGTGGTGGAATCTCTTTCCTTAGAGGTTTTTAAGGTCAGGCTTGACGAAGCTCTGGCTGGGATGATTTAGTTGGGGATTGGTCCTGCTTTGAGCAGGGGGTTGGACTAGGATGACCTCCTGAGGTCCTTTCCAACCCTGATATTCTATGCTGTATCACAGGATATGCTAAAGAACAAGGTAAAGATCATAACACAGCAAGAGTTTTGTTTTTAAACAAAAAGAGGAAGCAGGCGTCAGCTGTAGTGCATCACCTGTTTGTGCTGATGGTCATTTTACAAGAATGCCCCAGGGTTCATAAGACAGCTAAGACCGGAATTTTCAAAGAAGACTAATGAAATCTCAGTAGGTCCTGGATGTTTAACTCCATTAGCTTCTTTGAAGATCCCAACCTGAAGTGTTAAAGGCATTTTGTGGGAGGAAGCGATATAAATTAAAATAAATAAATAAATAAATCATTTTATTTTATTTTGTGGGAGGAAGTGATATCAAGCAATTACTACCTGTGACATTGATTCACAGCAGTTAAGATGATCTGCCCCTTAGTAGTGATTCCTGGTTAAGACTACGTTTTAGTCATGGGTATTTTTAGTAAAAGTCATGGACAGGTCACAGGCAGTAAACAAAAATTAATGGGTCGCCCTGACTAAAACTTGGGCGGAGGGCCGCTGGTGCTTTAGGGGGGACGGTCCGGGAGCACCATGGGTACTGGGGGAGGTGGCCCAGGACCCCTGCTGGTGTTGGGGAAGAAAGGGGAGGGGTGCACAGCACGTACCCCACAATCCCTGTTAGTGCTGGGGAGGGGAGGAAGGGGGGCTGCGGCATGTGACCTGGGACCCCGGCTAGTGCTGGGGGAAGGAGGGGGTTGGTGGGACTTCCTACTGGCTCCATCCCTGCAGCTCCTAGGCAGTGGAGTCAGGGGCAGGGGCTCCACTGCTCCTGCCACAAGCGCCAGCTGCTGCAGCTCCCATTGGCCGTGAACCGTAGCCAATGGGATCTGTGGGGGGAGGGGAGGGAGGGGCCCTGCGGGCACAGGCAGTGCAGAGAACCCCCCGCCCCTAGGAGCTGCAGTGGGGCCCCTCACCCCAAGGTAAGCGCCCCCCACAATCCCCTACCCGAGCCCCCTCCCACACACCGAAACTGCTGCTGCTGGGCTCAGGCAGCCCCTGAACCAGCACCAACCACTGCAGAAGTCACGGACAGTCAGAGAATCCGTGACAGACTTGCAGCCTTATTCCTGGTTATTCAGTTTGGAGACTCGGGCGTTTTATCTATAAATGAATCCTTGACAACACAAAATCAGCTTCCATAGTTACTCTAAGCTTTCAGATGGCATGTTCCATACCTCTCATATATTCAATAGTGCCATCAAGCACAAGGTTTAGAAGAGGGTCAAATCCTTTCAAGACTCCGCTAGCTGAAGACACCACACACACACAAAACAAAAAACAAAACAAAACAAAAAAGTTAGAAACTAAAATACACATAGCTTTTTTTACAAGACTGTAGCACAGGGGTAGGCAACCGAAGGCGGCACACGAGCTGATTTTCAGTGGCACTCACACTGCTTGGGTCCTAGCCATCAGTCCAGGGGGCTCTGCATTTTAATTTAATTTTAAATGAAGCTTCTTAAACATTTTAAAAACCTTATTTACTTTACATACAATAGTTTAGTTATTTATTATAGAATTATAGAAAGAGACCTTCTAAAAATGTTAAAATGTATTACTGGCATGCGAAACCTTAAATTAGAGTGACTAAATGAAGACTCGGCACACCACTTCTGAAAGATTGCCGACTCCTGCTGTAGCAACAGGAAGAAAACTCCCAAAGCCAAGATGTAAGAAAATAACAAATTCCATCCCACTCCCAAACTGGGAAGGGGAAACAAATGAGAGCAGCCACCAAAAAGTGCTTGATCTGGGAGAGAGAGAGGGAATGGAGGATGCCCTTCTCTTCATATTAAGATGTCATTAATAAAGACAGTGAAGCAGGACAAGTTGCTTCTAGAACTTTCAGGTTATTCAGATAATTAAAAGCAAAGAAAAAGCCATTTCAACTAGTGAAACTTTTACATTCTAGTTGTGTGGTCAGTAGATTAGCACAGTCTTTCATTCACAAAATGAACTGTCCATGTTCTTACTAGAGCAAAAAAGCAGTTTAGTAGGATAGTAATTGTTTAATTGACATCATCATAAATCAGAGTAGATTGTGTCTGTGCTGGTAAATTTTCATATTTTGGTTATAATAAAACAAAAAAACGACAACAGTAAGTCCCCCTAAACAGCCCAATGCATCCCATCTCCTGTGCATCTTTTCTAGAATGTAAGCTCTTGTGGCACAGGCATTGCCTTCATGTGTATATACTGTAAGGAGCCAAGTACCTTGTTCATACTAAAGTACATAAAGTAATGATTTTGCAAGGCTGGGCAATGAATACATTATGCAGGATCACATGAGTTGACTTCCCCGCCTTGTAAAAGCCAGTTTTACCATTTGTATTACCATAATGTCCAAGACCCCCAGTCATGCTAAGACTCCATTGTGCTAGGTGCTGTACGAAAACAGAACTAAAGATAGTCTATGCCCCAAAGAGTTTACAATATAAGGCAGCAGACAAACTGAGATAGTTGGGAGTACAAGGAAATGACAAACCATATACCAGCAAACACGCTAGGCAGCAGTTTCACTGCACTAATGGGCTAACTGTTATCAAGTTCTTTATAGGCATCACAGCAAAGAGGAGTTTTAAGGAGAGATTTGAAGCAGGATAATGAGACAGTTCTATGGGGGTTTATGGTGAGCGTCTCCCACAAGTGAGGGGCAGCATGGAAGAAAGAATGAAAATGCTTGTTTGAAAATTTAACAAGTGGGTGATGGAGGCTGGCATCTTTTGGTAATGAGAGAGGGGAGTCAATATTTCGATACTGAATGAGAGATGATAGGTAGACCATGGATAGGCTGTGAAGGACCTTGAAAGTGAAGACAAGATGTTTGAGGTGTTAGAGAAAGGCGAGTCATAGCTGAGGGATGCAAACAGAGGGGTGATGTGGTGAAAGCAACGGGCTGGGAGAATGATGTTTGTGGCAGCATTCTGAATGGATACAGGACAAGACTGCATTTGTCTAGGCCAGAGAAAAAAGGATGCTATAGTAATTGAGACATGAGATGATGAGAGCCTGGACAAGAGTTTTAGCTGCTTGGATGCATACGGCTTATAAGGCCATATCTTAAGAGATGTTATGCAGAAAGAATCTCCAATATTTAGATACATCAGCTAGATATAGAACAGGAGTATGTGTGGCAATAAGCTTTCATGGGCTACAGCCCACTTCTTCGGATGCCCACGAAAGCTTATGCTCTAATAAATTTGTTAGTCTCTAAGGTGCCACAAATACTCCTGTTCTTTTTGCAGATACAGACTAACACGGTTGCTACTCTGACACCTAGATATAGAGTACCTAGACAGAGGTTTGAATAAAAAATGATAGGCCTGTGACATGGGCATGAGTGACAGGCAGAATGGTGATGTTGCTTGCAGTGACAGAGAAAGGTGGGGGGAGAAGGCTTGAGAGGACGATTAAGAGCTCTGTTAACCACGTTGAGCTTGAAAGGATGGATGGCTAGACATCCTTGGGGAGATTGCAGGGATTTTAATTTGGACAGAAGAACAGAAGTCGGGAGTAGAGAGGTAGATCTGAGAGATGAGCACAGAGACAGTAGCTGAATTTGTGTTTGTGAATGAGACTACTCAGAGATAAGGTGTATTGAGAGAAGAGAAAGGAATCAAGGAAAGAGACCTATGAAAGTCCCTCCTCCCCCAACTGGACATCTAGTGGACATGCTTAAAGAGCAATTAGAGAGGCAGGAGGAGAATGAGGAGAGCACAGTCACAGAAGCCAGGGTAGGACAAGGTTTAAAAAAAAAAAAAGTATGGCCAACTGTGTCAAAGATGAATGACAAGTTAAGGAGGAAAAGGATGGAGAACTGGTTCAGAGTTTTTTGCTAGGAAAAGGTCATTACAGATTTTGGTGAGAGCAGTTTCAGTTGAGTGCAAGGGGTGGAAGCCAGATTGTAGAGTCTTAGATTGAACTGTAGGAGAGGAACTTCAGACAGCAATTGTAGACAGGCATTCAACAAGCTTAGAGATGAGAGGGAGAAGGGAAACAGAGCAGTCATTGGAGAGGCAAGTGGGGACAAGGATGATATTTTTAAAATGGGAGAAACAGAGATTTGTTTTGTGAGGTGAAAGAACCAGAGGAGAGTGAGAGGTTAAGTAGAAGAATAAGGGAGAGGGGGAGATAAGAGTGAGCACCAGGGAAATCTAAAGATGCAGTGGTGTTACTGGAGCACATGGAGGGATTATAGGAGGCAAAAAGCAGTTAGGATTATGGATGTGGGATTCATTATACCACAAATGCGTGATGATCTGCAAACCAGCATAGTTCAGTTTGAAACTTACCTTCCCTACCACCTTGGAATTTTACTCGAATTGTTTTGTCAATGTATTTTGAGAGATCCAAAATGCTCTCTTTCTTCTTCTTTTCTTTATCCTGGGGGAAAAAAAGGAAGCAAAGCTTACATAACTAAAAAGTAAACCAGAACCATCGCTTGGTTACATGTTTGGCCAGTGCTTGCCACAAAGGGGTCCTGCAATAAAAATAGTTAATAATACATTATTAATAGTTAGAAGAAGAATGGTGAAAGTATGCCCTGCTTAATTGCAAGGGAGCTCTTCAGCATAAACTATCAGTGCCTTCAAATTATGGATTAGCCCACGGAAACTGAAAGTCCCCACAAACATACCTTTGTTTGGATCTAGATAGACTAGCGCATGAATTTTAGGCCATGCAAGATGCAACCTGCTTCATTAAGTAGGCCCTTCGAATTCGAGGCAGGCTACCAAAAGCCTCACCCCACTCTGGAGTATAACGTACACAACAAACCAACCGATCCCACCATATAATACACTTACCAAACGGAGTATTCAAGTAACATCTTTCTCTCTAAATTGAGCCATAAAACTCTCACACCTCAACACACTAGCTTCAGGAATGACAGTAGTGATTTGTAGTGATCGATTATAAGAGTCTCATGGCACGTGCTAAACCTTTGGAAAGGGGACTTTCAGTGTACTGGATTCTTCTTCATCCCTTATAACTTTCCTAAGGGAAAGTTACACTCTGGTTTGCTTTGCGGCGCCCCTCTGTGTTTGGCATCATCTCAGCTTGTGCCACACCAGTCACTTGCCGTGCTGCTGCTTCCGCCACACGCTGCCCTCCCGCCAGGAACGCAACTCAGCGTTCGCCCCCCGCCCCCCCAGCCGGGGCTTTTCAGGGCAGGTTCTCGCCGCGGGACCCCAGGCGGACTCAGCTCCGCTCGCACCCAGCGCGACCTAGCGAGAGAGCGCGGGGCCGAGCCCCCCGTATGGCTTCACTCGCGTCTGGCCCGCCGCACTCCATGGGGCAGAGCTCCCACAGCCTCCGCCCACCCGCTCAGGCGAGGAAGCTCCGTAGGCTGCTCCGCGGGCCTCCCCTAGCAGGGCTCGAACTAACCCCGCCCCGGCGCTCGGGAGAGACAAGGCCAGTCCCCACCGCGGGCCAGCCCCGGCTCTCCCGCTACTCACCGCCATCTTGCGCCCACCAAGCACCTCAGCCCTCTGCTCTTTCACCCTGACACTTCCGGAGTCTGGGTCACAGCCCCGTCCTCTGATTGGCCGCTTCGCCCGCTTGCCCCCTCCCAGAGGCGGGACTTCCGGGCTGAGAGGCCGGGTTGCTGGGTAACACGGCCGGAGCGGTGCCAGTCCCGGCTCTGCTCACGAACAACCGGGGCTCCGGCGGCTCTCGGGATGGTGGCGGCGCTGACAAGCCGGGTCCAGCCTGGGCTGCTCCTGCTCCTTGTCGCCCAGGTGAGTCCCTGGCTCCGCCTGTGGGCACGGAACCGAGGCGGGGCGCGCCTGGGCCCCGCTTCCCCTTCCTGGGCCCCGAGGCAGCTCCCGACCCCTCCGTGCGGCGCGCCCGGGTGCTGTCGCTGCGGGACTCCGCCTTCCGACCGGGCCCCCCCGGCCTGGCAGAGCCCCTCGCTCTTGGACTGTGTTCGCCGCCCCAG